GGCTTTTTCGGCATCTAGTGAGATGATCATGTGGGGTTTTTTTTGTTTGGTTTTTTTGTTTGTTTGTTTTTTCCCCTCAGTCTCTTTATATGGTGGATTACATTGATGGATTTTCATATGTGGAACCATCCTTGCATCCCTGGGATGAAGCCTACTTGATCATGGTGGATGATTTCTCTGATGTGTTCTTGGATTTGATTTGCCAGTATTTTATTGAGAATTTTTGCATCAATGTTCATGAGGGATATTGGTCTGTAGTTCTTTTTCTTAGTTGTGTCGTTGTGTGGCTTGGGTATCAACATTATTGAAGCCTCATAAAAAGAGTTTGCCAAAAACCCTTCTGCTTCTATTGTGTGAAATACTTTGAGGAGAATTGGTATTAGCTGTTCCTTGAATTTCTGGTAGAATTCTGCACTGAAGCCACTGGCCCTGGGATTTTTTTGGTTGGGAGGCTTCTGATGACTGCTTCTATTTCATTAGGGGCTATAGGTCTATTTAAGTTGCTTATCTGTTCTTGATTTAATTTTGGTAAGTGAAATCTGTCCAGAAAATTGTCTGTTTCTTTTAGATCTTCGAATTTGAGGAATATAGGTTTTCGAAGTATGACCTGATGTCTGTTGTTATGTCCTCTGTGTCTGTTGTTATGTCCCCCTTTTCATTCCTGATTTTATTAATTTGCATGTTCACTCTCTGCTGTTTGGTACGTTTGGATAAAGGTGTGTCTATCTTGTTGATTTTCTCGAAGAACCAACTCTTTGTTATATTGATTCTTTGTATTCTTCTCCTAGTTTCCATTTTATTCATTTCAGCCCTCAATTTGATTATTTCCTGGTGTCTACTCCTCTGGGGTGTATTGGCTTTTTTTTGTTCTAAAACTTTTAGTTGTGCTGTTAATTCTCTATTGTGATTATTCTCCTGTTTCTTCATGTGGGCACTTAGAGCTATGAACTTTCCTCTTAGCACTGCTTTCAAAGTATCCCCTAGGTTTGGGTATGTTGTGTCCTCATTCCTATTGAATTCTAGGAAATCTTTAATTTCTTTTTTTATTTCTTCCTCGACCCAGGAATTGTGCAACTGGGTGTTACTTAATTTCCATGAGTTTGTATTTAATGCATTCTTAATCCACGAAAAACACGTGGAGCACAGCCCCACACTATTTTGGTACTTCTCAGTAGAAATTATTAAACTTCATCTGCATTTGTATTTCATTTCCATAATCATGCACTTCATAATGTATCGTTACAGAAGAGGAGGACTACACATTGTTTAGGATTTTAATTTTTCAGGAGTATGAAATTTTCATATTGTTTGAGTTTTGGCATGAGCATAAAGAAGAAAATGTGTTTATAAATACACACATATGTCTTTTCTTGTAAAGTGGCTGCTGTGTTTCAATATAGTTACATTAACTGGGAGTCTGGTAGAATTTAACAGGTAGTAAAGTTGTGAAATCTACGATTTCTCATGTCTTAATCTTGTTGTAGGTAATGTAACCTAAAAAGAAATTCTTGCGATAGTAAGAAAAATAATTATATTATGTGTTCTACCATACCCCCACTTCAGAGCCATGAGATGTGTCCTGCCCGGCTTCTGACAAACCTGCTGTATGTGACCAGGGTGTATCATTAAAAGAGAATTCACCCCTTTATGTTTGACTGTGTTAACTGCATAAAGAAATGTTCTGTTTTCTATGTAGAGGTTAACTGTCCAAACACAACTTGGTTTAACACTTTGAGATGGTTTTCTGAATAATTGTGAACTACAATGTTTACATAATACCTAAATATGCTCTTAATACTCATAGCTTTATTGAAGTATCATTTGGTTGGTAGGTTTCTTCTCCCATCTGTGGCTAGAGAATGAAGTCTCTCCCCATGTACGTCCTATGCTTATCTATTATGAGGTCTCAATTCTAGCTTAGCCAGGAACAGTATCACTGCTAGCAAATAATGGATTTTTAAGAATAAATAAAAATTTGCTTATTATAGATAATATTGAAAATAGTAGAGAATGGGAAGGGCCTGGACTCTGCTCAGGAACTCATGAAGATGTCATCACCCATGTACATCAGAAGCAGCCCTGGGCCACTGTGCTGTTTACAGGCTCTTCTCATTTTGGGGTGCAGCTCTGAGATTATACTCTTGCAAATGATTGCCCCAGGAGAATTGTAAACTGTTGAAAGTTTTCCCCCCCATAATATGAGTCCAGTGCTACAGCATCAGGGCTGTGTCAGTCTCTGTCCTGAGCACCTGACCAACGGTGGCACAATAGAAATACAAAGTAAATCAAAGTCTTGAACATTGGTGTTGTGGAATTTGGAGATGTCTTCAAAACAGAGAGGAGCAAGGCTTGGAAAAATAGGGATTGATAAAGCCAGAAATGGAATTAAATGTAATCAAAAGAGGAATGTTAGTGTTGAAGGCCCACACACATGTCAGGAGTTTTAAGACTTCCTTGTCTTGCAGGTTTTGTTTTTGGTGTGTGTGTGTGTGTGTGTGTGTGTGTGTGTGTGTGTGTGTGTGTGTGTGTGTGTGTGCTCATGCTGCAGCGCATTACAATACTGCATGAGTAGAGGTGAGGGGACAACTTACTGCGGGTTAGCCAGTCTGAGGGGCCAGGATTCAGGTTGTCAGGCTTGCACAGCAGGTGCTTTGATGCACTGAGCCCTATTTTTTTGAGATAGGGTTTCACTATGTAGCACTGACTGAGAACTTGCTGTATCGACTGGCAATCCGTTACCTTACTGTGATCCTTCTTCCTGTGATAGCCAAGGACTGGAATTACAGACGTGAACCACCATACCTTGCATTCTCTTGGTTTAAAAGCAGATACCAATAAGATTTGGCTGTATGTGCTGGTGGGTGCCTATAGTCCTAGCTATTCTAGATGCTAAGGAAGGAAGATGAGTGAAGTTAGTTAGCCTCCATACCATACCTAGAACCTGCCTCCACCCTCTTAGGAGCTGGGATTCTAGGCATGAGCCAAATTTCCATATTTCCATCTTTTCATTTTGCTTTTCCATCTAATCTTGTTTTTCACTACTTCCATGGAGACCATGACTCCTGGTTTTCTCTGAAAGGATGCCAGCCTGTTTTCAGGTTTCTTTTGTTGCTACCAGGGTATACAGTAAAGGTCTATCTTTGAGAATTGGGGAGGTCATTTTCCTGTATTGAAATACTATCCTTTTCTCATGGCTGATATTTCGTTTTTTCCATTTTTTATTCCTTTTAAAAGAGAAATCTGCTGGGTGTGGTTGCTCATACTTTAAATCCCAGCACTGGGCACTGGGGATTGGGGGCTGGCAGAGGCCCCCAATCTTGAGTTCAAAACCAGTCTGGTCTACAAGGTAGGTTCTAGTCTAGCCAACGCTAAACAGAAAGATGCCATTTTTAAAACAACAGCAAAACACACACACACACACACACACACACACACACACACACACACACACTGAAATCTGCCAGCTCTGTTTTCTGTCAACAAGTAGGTTCAGTAGGTTCCTTCTTCTATTTGTTTATATTGGGCTTAGTGTCCTTCCTGGATCTTCAGCTCTGGTCATGATAACCTGCACAAATCCTAGGACCCCCTCTCAGCTCACAAGACTTTTCCTGGGGTTAAATATTAGGGCTGGAATGTATGAAAATTGAAATTAGGAATGCTTTCTACCATTAGGGCTCTGCCTTATCTTTATTCTTTTGCCTGAAGGGACTGCAGGCAGCTTACAATGTGACCTTGCTAGCACTCTAAAGCTTTTATCCCAGTTGTTTTTCTAAAAATTTCATTCCACAGGAATGTGAATAGACGGTAGTGGTAAGTGGGGTGTGTGTGTGGGGGGGGGCAATTCACCAATGCCAAGATCTGTTGTGGAAATATTATCTTAACTGAGCAAAGGTGTGTTACCATTTATTTATGCTGCGGAATATTACTTTAGCTATGTGAAGGTGTGTTACCATTTGTTTCTGCTGCAGAATATTACTTTAGCTATGTGAAGGTGTGTTACATTTGTTTCTGCTGCCTTTGTTAACAATGTAAAGATGCCTTACATTTGTTTATGCTACATTTGTTTAATTATGTAACAATGTATTGTTGTTTCACCTTTCATGCCTAAGGCACCTGATTGGTCTAATAAAGAGCTGAACAGCCAGTAGCTAGGCAAGAGAGGGATAGGCGGGGATGGTGGAGACAGAATAAATAGGAATCTAGGAATACTAAGAGAGGAGGCGAGAACTAGGGAGAAAGGGAGGGACATACCCAGGGTCAGAAGCGGAACAGCCTCCAGGCAGACACAAGAAGCAGTGAGTAAGATACACAGAACGAAAGAAAGGTAAAAACCCTGAGGCAAAACATAGATGAAGAGAATCAGGTTAAGTTATAAGGGCTAGCAAAAAATGAACCTAAGCTTAGGCCAGGCATTCATAACTAATAATAAGACATGATTTGGGAGCTGGTTGGTGGTCCAAAAGAAAGCCTGGTACAAAGATCTGTCTGGATGGGAGTTGGGGGTTGGCAAGTGGCTTTCTTTGTATCATGGATACAGCACTGTGCCTGAAGCAGGTAACCAGGGGTAAAGGATGCCTGCAGCCCCTTCTTTCCTGTTTAAGTGGCCTTGGCATTATGAGGCTTCAGCTAAGTATGGCAGTGAAGAAAAAGCCCAGACATGTCTCTGCCCCCCCCCCTCCAGCCCCAAACTAATATTTCTTCTGTGGTTTGCAAACTTAGATTCAGGTGTCTTCAGTTGATTTTAATCTTTTATGGAGCATTTTCCTGCATGTTTTTCTGAATCCTCAGAAAATGATAGTGGTTGCACTGTGAACTCTCAAGGCACAGATTTTAGACTATAAAGAGATGTATTTTGATTTGTACCTTTATCTTCTAATGTCTAGAGAAAGTTTGATGCTTCTAAGTCTGGCAGTAGACTACCTCAGAGTTGTTATTGCGCTACCTTTATGATGGGCTCTCTACTAAGAAGGGCAGGAGTTTGCTCCCATCTGAGTTGACCTCATACTGAATGTCTTTTTCAGATAGCAGCAGCAGCGGCTATGTTTCACTTCTTCCGAAAGCCTCCAGAATCCAAAAAGCCCTCTGTACCGGAACCAGAAGCAGATGGATTTGTCCTCTTAGGTGAGTCTTTTTAAGAAACAAAATCCTAGTTAGATGAATTGTTTCTAAAAGTTAGTTTGGTGATTATGTGGTTGATTTCTAAACTGTTTTTTTTTTTTTTTTAATTTCAGAATAAGTTGTGTGTGTGATTTAGAAAGCACTGTGGATAAAACTGCTTTGCTAACCCTTCCTTTTGCCAGCCAGAAAGGCTCTGTCAGTCCCAGTGATAGTGTCTTGGAAGCTGCAGGTGCTCTTTGCTTTTCCTCCCACCTCCTGAGTTTGCAGACAGCAAAACTTGAGAAGACCCCCAGGCCTCCTGGAAACCGTTGTCTTCTGGAGTTTGGCAATATATGCTTCTCTTGGGAGTTTATTCCAGCTAAGTCTGGTTTTCCAACCCCTGTTTGTTTGTTTGTTTGTTTGTTTGTTTTTAACATCTATATAAACTTAAGACATATATAGCCAGACTGGAATATCAGAGACAAGGTCTATCCATGGGAAGTAGCTCTGCTTTTGTATGATCTCTGTAACCTTGAGCAAATGTTTCCTTGGTTCTCTCACAGCTGCTTTAGTACGAGTCTGCAAGTCTTCTGCTTCAGCAGGTACAGTTCATCTGCGTTGGGCTGCCCTTCCTGTTCCAGGAAGACTGGCATTGGAAGCATCTTTGATTGAGGCTCGGAAGTCTCACAGGCTTCCAGAGATGCTATTTCATGAGGGAATTTCCAAGATTTAATTACTCTAATATGCTCAGTAGCAGCTGTTCTGTCTGCTGTACCCACACTCTGATGGTACATTTTCTCAAAGGCTGACATGCTGTGTTTTGAGCAAGCTTTCCCAGGACCATCTTGGACTGAGCATGATTGATATTCCCAGGACTGTATGTCTTGGTTTGAAACTTACAAAGAGGGATTACTTCTATTATAATCCTAGAAAAATAATTACGTATGTAGTGTATTTGGTATTACAACTTGTTCAAATGCCCCAGCAAGACCGGTGTTCCCAGTGTTAGCCGAGGCCTCCTGTCTCTCAGGAACTGTCAGCTGAGACTTGTGTCTGGTTAACCCTGTTTGGTTTTCGATGCAGAGCTTCCAACTTCACTGATTTCCTTGCAAAAGAGAAAAGAAAAGAAAAGAAACTATATACCTGGTGTTCTGTGGGCTTAGCTAGCGCCCCTGAATTGTCACGTCGTCAGTCACTGTCATCTCTGTGCTCTCACTTCCTGCCTTCTTTCTCTTTTCATCTGTCACATCATCTCCTTTTTCCCTCAGGAGCACAGCACAGGCTTACAGTTAAGTACAAATATGAATGCTGACTGTACAGCCAGAGCCTTTGGCGTGACAGCCCAGCTTCACAACTTATTGGGGTTTCTAGCTTTAGCAAGCTATTTAACAACCTTGGGTATCGCTGAGCATGTTATCAGTCCCTACCCTATTGGGTTAGTGTGGAATTAAATGAATTAATGTGCTTAAAACACTGAAAATAACCTGTAAGGGAGGTGGTTCTGTCACAGCATACAGAAGACTTAATTTCCCAGGTTCTTCTTGCATAAAGAAAAATGCAATTAGCCTGGGTAATCTGATCCCAGTGCTATCTTTTTACTCTCTGTACTGTTGCAGTCTTAAAATGCTGCACTGCCAGCATTTGAAAGTTTTTAATTAAACTTGTGTAGGTGATGTAAAACGAGAGGCATCTGCAGTTGTGATGTACAGTTGACAGTACGGTGACTGTAGACAGTGATACTGTTCTGAATGTATCAAAGTGGAGGAGAGGCCTCAGTGTTTTCACCAGGTCCTCAGTTTTAATCTAAGCCATTAGTGATATTTTCAGCTAAAAATGTTAATGTCAAATATCAATGTCAAACACCTCTCAGCATCCCAGGACTTAACTGATTTTCCTGATGACAGTCCTGACAGTTACTAGGAATATTGTATTGTCTTTTAAAAATATATAACGACAAACTTTAAGATTTATTTATTCTGAGTAGCTGCCCCTTTTCTGTGGCAGTATCTATGTAGCATCTACTTTTGTCTCAGAGCATGCCATATGAAGATACTTTGAAAAGATAAGTGGTATGCATGAGATACTTGTAGCGATTTTATTGTTAACATGGTGCTGTACTTGTGTATTCTGGAATATGTACTAGTTACTTTTCTATGGCTGTGATAAAATACCACAGCTAAATCAACTTATAGGAGAAAGAATTTATTTTGGCTTATGGTTCCAGAGGTCCATAGCAGCATGGAATGCATGGTGGCCAGAGGTCAGGTTGAGCAGCGGATGGATCACATTTCAACTTTTCAGTCTGTCTCAGGACGCAAGGGGAGAGAACTGCAAGGCAGGCGAGGCTGTCAACCACAACCCCAGTTCTTCCTCCAGCAAGGCTCAGGTCCTAGACTTCCATAACGTCCCCAAATAGTGCCACCTTCTGGTGGCACTGATCAAGTGTTCAAATACAGAAACACAGGGATACATTTTGATTAAAGTCACCCAGTATAGCAAGGTGTAATGGCACATGACCTTAATCCTAGCACCCAGCCTAGTCCAGAAAGCAAGTTCTAGGACAGCCATGGCTACACAGAGAAACCTGTCTCTTAAACAAACAAATAAACAAAAATCCCAAACCATATAGTATATATTCACATAAGATCTTAAAACTATTGTATGAAATAGGTACATTACAGGAAAAAAAAAAAAAAGATTGGTTTTGTTTTCTTTCTTCTGGCTTCTGAATGATAAAAGTATATGACTTAGAAATAATTTCCTGGCAGTGGGCTGTCAGAATTGATTAGATATCTCTTTACTGACCCTTATAACCTGTTTCTAAGAAGGTCACAGTAAATGACACTGTTAAGGCTAACAATGATACCCCTTCTCTTTTTGCACTGGAGAAAACCTTTTCCTGTAGGCCTGTATTCCTGCTTCATGGTGACTTGACGTTTGGGCTCCAGGCAGAACCAAGGCACTTTTGTTGATAATGGGACTATCTAGAGTGTTCGTAAACAGCCAGTAGGCTCTTGTTTATGGAAAGCCTTTTTCTTACTAAGATTTCTAAAGTTTTTGGCCTTTGTAAATCGAGGAAAATGCAGAATAAGAATAAAGGGAGGGGTGGGGCTAGTAGAAAAACATCCTTTCCCTTGTGTAACCAGTGTGTTCACATAAGAAGGCAAGAGTTCATTCAGTAATGAAGTTGAAGTAATCCTCCAGGGTACTCATTTTACACAAAAACAAATTGCAGTTTTCATTTGCATCACTGGGTGGCGATTTTTCACAGCCTTGTGCTACTGTTTAAAAAGCCAGCAAGCATGGCACTGTTTGTAATTACCAGGGCCTTCTTCTGTTATGACACATTTAATTGTGCTTTTAGCACATTATCTTTAAGTTGATTACAAATCTACTAGTGTAATGCACAACCTTGTAGTTATTTTAAATTAGGAAAGGGTATTGCCTAGATGTTGGCATACATTTCCATCCAAAACCAGGCCAAAGGCATGCATTAACTTATTACATTATAGCAAAACTAGGGAAAACAGTAGCAACAAAAATCATAGGATATAAAATGAAAGAAAGTAGTGTAGATTATTGTTGTTGCCTCCACTAATATTGTTGACTAAATATTGAATATAATTTTGGAGCCAGCAGAATGAAATGGGGCAAGCAGTCTATTAGACAAAAAGAATTGGATTACAATGCAACTGAAATTTGTTACATTCTTCAGTATATGCAGACACTTTTTAAAGTAGGGCACGAGAACTCTGTTTCCATCAACTACTTGTTTTGTAAAACTGAATTTTAAAACTATTTTAATAATTCATAGTAGCTTGGGTTTCATCTTTAAGTACTGGCATTGAAATACATATCTTATTTTCCCTCTTTTACATGGCTTAAGTATTAAATCAGATCTTAGAAAGCAATTGGTTGTTTTTAAGGGTCTTTCCTGTTACATTCCACATTCTGGGAATCAAAGCATGTACATGTATTTCAGTAAGACCACTGTATTTTTACTTAGGATTTTTAAAAGGTAGTCTCTCATCTCTATGTCCCCCCCCCTTTTTTTATTTGAAAATGAATACTTAACTGTGTAGAGTGAAAATATACATTCCACAGAATGGGGGATAGTAACTTTGACTCTATGTTGAACTGAAGGTTTTAATTATAACAGCAAAAACTAAATAAGCTGGAAGCTTGTTCCTCCTGTTCCTACAAAACAAATGCACAGGTCTTAAAAAATGTATTCATGGATTTAAAAAGTAATTTAATCTTGTCCTTATACAGTGATATCCAGAAAAACACAAATATGTTTAATTTAACATAATGATCTCTCTAAATTTTTATTCTTGACCCTTAAATTCCAAAGCAAATGTACAAGGATTTTTCTTTTAACTTCATTATGTAATGAAAGATCTTATTTTCCCACTAAAAAAATGTGGAGCTGTGTGTAATGGATGGAATTTTTACATTCAGTGCTACGTAATTCCAGTCTAGCTGATAATCCAGCAGTGTTTTAGTTCCTGGAGTTTCAGATGTTGTCCCTGTGTGGGGTGTACTGCCTTTCCTAGATTTACGAATGTTTAGAACAAGAGGGTATTGATTGTATAATATAGGGAAAAGATGCCAACTTCACAGAGAGGCAGAGCTAACCCTTGTGTTTACACAGTTGTAGGGAAGCCTTTCATTCTTTCTGGGACCCAGTGGACTTGGTTGACTTAAATGTAAATTAGGCATCTCCCTCCCTAATCTGTATTTCTGATCCTTCCCATTAAAGTGGCACTTGGAGAATATGCTGGTCCTGGGACCCATCACTGGGTCCTGATGAGATGGGCCTCTGTTTGACTGAGATAGTAGGGCTAGCAATGCCTCCCTGCAGATGATCCCAGAGGACATGCAGGGCTAAGGAATACTGTAGTTCACTCTCTGAATTAGTAACTGTGTACCATTAAATAACATGTCAAGACACTTTGAGAAAGACCTCATTAAATAGGAAGTTACAGTTTGTCTTCCACTTCACTTGAACCATATCCAGTAAC